CACCTACTGTACCACCACCACCTATACCACCATCACCTACTGTACCACCACCACCTATACCACCATCACCTACTTTACCACCACCACCTATACCACCATCACCTACTCTACCACCACCACCTATACCACCATCACCTACTGTACCACCCCACCTATACCACCATCACCTACTCCACCACCACCACCTATACCACCATCACCTACTCTACCACCACCACCTATACCACCATCACCTACTCTACCACCACCACCTATACCACCGTGCAATTCATTAAAATTTCCTTTCATTTAATTCATTTAAAAAGCACGACAACGTTGTTGCTTCGTCAAAGTAAGATTCTTATCTAACCTCACTAGTCATCATGACGCAGAAAATGTTCTTCTTGACATCAGTGTTCATGCGTTGTTTACGAGCTAATTCCAGTAGCTTAGAGTTCCACTTTTGGGCAGATGACGTAACAGAGGTATCCCTAGACTCTTGACGTCCACTCCAAGCTGAGCCCACGATCCACCACCGGCCTGGTAGAAAAAAGAATCAAGTCTTTGCATTAAAAACTGAGATGCATGGTTGAACAATGGGTTCAGGAGATTGCATTGGGTCCCAATCATTGTGTTGAGGGTGTCCATCACTTAGCCTCAAATCAACCCTAACTAATTCAAACTGGTTAGAGCTGTGCTCCGTGCTTCATACGTGGACTATGTAGCAGCTGCCAGAGGCACCTTCACATGCTTTCAGTTCGATTCCGTTGAGGTGTTCCACTGCTGTACTTTGTTGTGATGATAAGCGATGACAACTCTTGTATTAGCCATTATAAGGTTGAGAAAAAAACTGGATCAAGTTGGCATTGCAGTGCATTGTGGGACTGTTTTAAGGAATACATTTTCAAGATGGCTGCAATTTCGTCTCCTAAAACAGCCCCAAAATGCAATGCAATGCCAACTGGACCCAGTTTTTTTCTCATCCTCGCAATGCTATATATTTAGGAAGCCCTTGTCAACACAAATGAAGGGACTCCTGGGACTCATTAATATTATGGTACAGCATCTTACGGCTCTAATTTGCGTACAAAGGCACGACTCGAAACTCATTTTAACAAACTTTTTTTCTTATGCATCCAAGAGAGGTTTACGATGTAAATGAATAATAATTTGCATAATCATTAACGGTTTTCTCTCCATAGAACTTTTTAAACACTAGCATTTTATATTTCATGCAAATAAAACTGTTACCTTTGGTGTTTGCTTCAAGGAGATCCCGCAAAGATATTTGCAGCTGAGAGCCTGATGATCGATCTAGAAAAAATATGATATGTACTTATTATAATCCCTAATAAATGATTGAAGGATGGATGGATGGATGGACGGACGGACGGACGGACGGACGGACGGATGGATGGATGGATGGATGGATGGATGGATGGATGGATTGATTGACATGATGGGTCATAGCTTGATACTTACTATAATCTCTAATAACTGATCGTAGTAGTTTCCTGAGGTGTTCAACTTGTGATGGGTCATAGCCTGGTATCTTTTGTAGATTATTGTTGCGCAGATTTGAGATGATCTCCAACATGAAACGAACTCGAGAGCTGAAAGCAAGACATTTCAATAACCTAGTAATAATCTTTTATAAATGTAGTCTGAATCGAAATAAGAGAGGAGGAGGAGGAATGTTGAATGAAGTTTACTTCAAAGATAAGAGAAGAGAAAATAGCAAGAAGGGCATCTGTTAATAAACACGTGGTCACGTGACCCTACCCCCTTAATATAAGCAGCTATGTCAAAATAAACGCCAGAAATGGCAAAAAAAAAAAACACAACTGGACAAAACGGATCGAAAATACAACCAGTTTCTTTGTGAAATACGTAAGAATAAAATATTTGCCATTCAGTTTTGTCTAAAAAAGCCTGGAAAATTGTATATCGATACAACCTCTGGGCTGATTAAGAGCAGGGTACCTCTAATTCTCAAACCCAATTGGAATTCAGTGTGTTAATAGCAAGAACTGGTTGGGGAAATCGAATCAAGAGAGTGACGTAAAAAAAATAAAACAAATGTTTTGTCAAGTCCAGGCATCGAACTCGGAACCTTAGAGGTAGAGACGAGCACACTTTTTACAATAACTTACAAATTTCTCGAGTGCTGATTGGTTATTTTTTATCATCAATAAGAGGATAGACAGATAAAGCTGACGTCAACGAGCGCGCGCTCTTTCCGTTAGTTGTTTGATCAGTAAAAATGAGAAGTTTTTATCGTTTTTGTCATGGTAAAAAAACAAATTGACATTGTTTTTTATGTGTCTGAACTCTTACTGACGATAAATTTCGTCATCGCATTGTCAAAGTAGTACGCCTAGTACGTGGATCCACACTACTTTGACAATGCGATGACGCAATTAATCTTTAATAAGAGGACAGACACATAAAAAACTGATGTCAATTTGTTAAATTACATGCTACACCACCCTTGTCTAGAATGCTCAACTAGGGGGTTGTGCTCAGTAGCCGTCTTTAAAGTGCTACTACGACGAAAATCGCTCAAACTTGGATTCGGCTGAAACTTCCTAAAAATACTCTTTAAAGGTCCAATAATCACTGTATGAAGTGTTTTCTCGATATTCAGGACGAAAGTATGATATTTTTACGATTATTTTTTGGAGTCTGTGACGTCATACACTCAACATCAAACATTGCTACATATAGTTCTTTGTATATAAATCCTTAATTTATTTTATTCCTATAAAGCCCAAAGGGTGGCTAATGTGCTTATTTCACATTACTTGTGACTATAATTTATATTTTGGGGTGTTTGGGTATTTCTTTCTCHSTTTACTACTGATATTTTGATCATAAACTACAAAGAAATGTATGGAGCGATGTTCGATGTTGAGTGTATGACGTCACAGACTCCAAAAAATAATCGTAAAAATATCATACTTTCGTCCCGAATATCGAAAAAACACTTCATACAGTGATTATTGGACCTTTAAAGAGTATTCTTAGGAAGTTTCAGCTGAATCCAAGTTTGAGCGATTTTCGTCGTAGTAGCACTTTAACCATGACAAAATTACAATAATGTACAGCATATACAAGTGTTGTTCTAACTTACTCATTTGACAGGTCAGAAGCAGATGCTGCCTTTGCTTGGATTTGTAGAATGATGTCCTAAAAATAACAACCAAACTGTCGTCACAACATATTCAAGAGAACAGAGCGGGTTTTGCACCATCACGTGACGGCAGCCATGTTAGATGGCAGGAACAATACAATCGTTTTACACGAGAAAGAATTCAATTCCCAAGAGCAAAGGAAATTTATGGTTCTGCCATCTAACCACAGGGAGCCCAAGCTGTATAATGGGCGCCGGCAGGTGATGGTGTAAAACATCTATTTTATGATCACTAACAACCTTAAATAAAGTTGAATATTTGGTAATCAGGCTTATTATACATGTATGAATGAAGGGTTGTCACTGATTTTAACTTACTAATAGATTTTACTCAAACGTTTCAGTCGCGGCACCAAATATCAATTAACTAAGTCCTCCATAGAACTCATTAAATAAACTAATATTTGTATAATTACCTTTAAAGATCCAGGATCATCTCGACGGATCTCAGCTCCTGTGCCTAAGAAACACAGCTAAGTTGAGACATTGATTTGGGCCAACGATCGAGCACGCGCGCAAAAACCTCCGAATCACCATGGGAACCCTCGCATATTTCAAGGAAAATTACACATTTCGAACTTCAAGATGGCAAAAAAAACATTCTTCACAGGACTTAATGTTTTTAAATTTTTCGATTATTGGTGTTTTGTTATTTGCTAAAACATGCAAGTTCCATTTTGTGTGAGTAAGTCAGGTAAACTTTATAAACTTATTTATACAAGTTAGTCCCTTCAACTCAAAAGCTGATATCAAGTCGGTGCCCTGTGTTTAAATGCCTGTTGTACAATCTCACTTGATGACATGATGTTACATGTATATGTTTATCCATATGAACCAAGTTGACTTACTTTTTAATATTAACAGCAGCAAATCAATATCTTGTTCTTGGAATCCATCAGACAGAAGACGAATGATGTCGTAAATCAGACCACAGTGAATAACCTAAGTAATAATAATAAAGACTTATTGGTGAACACAATTAATACCAAAACATTAGTTTACATTGAGGCCAAGAAAAACAGCTTGCAAACCCGACGTTTATCGTAATGAAGCACCTCACATTATAGCTAGTATTTCAAGGCACTTAGCTCAGGGAGCTTCTAAGAGCTGCTTAGCTCTACTGTTTTCTCTCTATATTTTATCGTACTACTCCAGATCTCTATCTCTCTGAGGCCCACCCAGGGGGAGACAAAGGGGTAAGGAGTGGGGTGGGTTGCTTACCTTAAAATTATAAAGATGTGAAAATAACGAAACAACATTAAAGATCTCCTTGCCACTGTTCTCACTTTGCCCAGCTTTGTGAAGGCGATCAAACTGAACTGCTAATGTCTGAACAAAGTGGGCCCCTAGAAAAAAGATTTATATACAGTAACTATTTAGTTGCTATACAGTCATGTGTCTTGTTCTTGAGACTATGGAAAACAAAACCTCCCTTACCTACTTCCAATCCAATGTTGCTGTTTAGAACAGCTAGAAGCAAACAGTGTTCCATTAAGAGCTTTGGAGACATCAATGATGTCGAGACACAAGAATCTAGGATCAGACTAGTCAGCAGTTCATTCATGTCTGGAAAACAGCAAAGAATATTTGGGTCTTAAGAAACCAATGGATCTCTTTAGCTTTGGCCTATGAGTGTTTTCCCATTTAAGGCCACGTGTTATTCCCTTGAGTATAAAAATATTTGTTTAAGTTGTGTGCATAGTCATGTGCCTTCTCATGAGCAACGGTTAAAAAAAGAAATGATACTCTAGGGAATGACACATGGTCTGAAATGAGAAGATACAGTTGTATTACAATATACAATACAATATAATTTTATTGTATTATGCAGGGCCCAATAAAGTTTTAAATTGAGGAGTGGGGGGGGGGGGGGGGGGGGGGGGGGGTGAATTTTAGAAATCTCTTCCAAATACTGAATTTTATACCAAATTGAAAATAAGCAAACTATATATTAAGTCTGGAATGAGAGCAAAATTATTGGGGGGGAAAGGGGGGGTGCTATAGCCCCTCAGCCGCCCTAGCTCTGTGGCCCTTGTTAGTGCTGGTTAGTCCCTAGCTCTGTGGCCCTTGTTAGTGCTGGTTAGTCCCTAGCTCTGTGGCCCTTGTTAGTGCTGGTTAGTGCTTGTTAGTGCTTGTTAGTGCTTGTTGTTGTGGCCCTTGTGGTGCTTGTTAGTGTTCGTTAGTTGGTTCTAATTTATTTTGAATGTTTTTATCTAGATTTTCTGACTTTTCTCCATCTGCAGAAATCAACTAAATTCGATCTGGCGTCTACATGTAGAGCTTAAAAAAAGTTACACATTTTTGGGTTATCTTCATCTACATCTTACCATTCCTACTATTACGATTAAAAAGTCCCTCTATTTCACTGCAGACAACTTGAAGATTTCCTTCACTGAGCCTAGAGAAAATGAAATAATTTATATATTATCTGACTAGTGATTATAATGGTCATCAAAACCATCATCCAAATTTCTTTCCATCTGTTCAGTCTGTTCGTTCTATCTGTCCATTCTGTCCGTCCTGTCTGTCTGTTCTGTCTGTCTGTTCTGTCCGTCCGTACTGACCATCCGTACTGACCGTCCGTACTGACCGTCCATTCTGACCGTCCGTTCTGACTGTCCGTTCTGTCTGTCCGTTCTGTCTGTCCGTTCTATCCGTTCTTTCTGACCGTCCGTTCTGTCCGTCCGTTCCATCTGTTTGTTCTGTCCGTCCGTTCTGACCATCCGTTCTGTCCATCCATTCTGTCTGTTTGTTCTGTCCGTCTGTTCTGACTGTCCGTTCTGACCGTCCGTTCTGACCATCCATTCTGTCCATCCATTCTGTCCATCCATCTGTCCCTCCTTCTTTCCTTCCTTCACTCTTTCCGGAATTTATTCTCATATACACACTAGTGCACTATTAGAACCATTAAAACATATTCATCATTAATTATTAAGGAATTATAAATAACGAAATAAAATCCTACCTGTTCAATAGTCCCTTGAGCTGCCTTTTCACCTTATCCAAATGTTCTTTATTAGACTTAGAACTGTCTGTGCCTCGCAGGTGCGGAGGAATATATTTGGTTGGATTTTCTTGGATTCCTTTTTTACCAGATGGAATAATTGAATCATGTTTTACTTCACTATTTAATTTCACATTCGAATWAGTGTCATTTTCATTGATGTCCTCATCACTTTCATTGCTATCATCATCATCATCAATGTCATCTTCAACATCATCTTTTTCATTATCATCACTGCTTTCACAGCTTATGTTGTTTTCATCATCAATATTGTCATCATTATTGGATTGGGCATCATCATCATCATCATCATCTTTATCTGAATTCCTATCACTATCATTTTCAGCTTTTTCGCAAGCACTGTTGTTAAGGAAGGATTCATCTTCCTCCTCCTCCTCCTCATCGCTATTGTCATCATCATCATCATCATCATCAGTTAAATCCAAGTCACTTTCTTCATCAAGAGCATCACTTTCTTTTTCTTTCGCTTTTCCATCTTTTTTCGTATTAAACATTTTGCTTTTATCCTGTAACCAAGAAGAATATTAGTTGAATCAACAACTTAAAGCATGTTACATGTATATACAGTATGTCAGAAGGATCCTAGAAAACATAACCACAATTCAACCACAGAAGCATTAATCTTTGACTCGGCCAGGGGATTTTTTTAGTTTTTTTCTTTTATTTCTTTTTTTTTTTCTTTTTTTTTTCTTTTTTTCTTTTTTTGTTCTTTTTCCTTTTGGGCCTAAATATTCTGGAAGTTCTGGAAGCATTGCACGTCTTCCTCTCACTGCTGTCAGTGGTTCTAAAAAATTTCTGGAGGAGAATAGTTCTATGAACACACCTTTTTATTTCTAGAGAATGCTTTCAGGTATTTGTCAAGCCCAGGATCATTTTCACTGTCACTTCCACCTTCAAGATTATATCTCTGATGATCACAAACCTCAAACAGATCTTAATACATCAGTCAAGGGCAAAGTTACACTCTATTAAGATTTTTAAAAAATTAAAATTCGATTTACTACTCAAGGGTGGACAGAAAGCCAAGCAGGTTTTACCACTCATTATAAGACAACTGTCATAAATCTCGTGTTCTGATTGGTTGAGAGAATGTGCTTTATAAGAGTACACAGCATGCTCGAGCACTTTCATTTGCGTCATTTCTATCTAAATAAAGGTTTTTGTAATTTGTATTTTATAAAAGAAATTAAATAAGCTTGCTTGTGCTGTGATGTGTGGAGTTACATGTATAAAGCACTTGGGGTCTGGCAGAACACTCGACAAGTATCAATGACTGCACACAGAACATGCATGCGTTTTCTATTTCTTCACTATAAAGCTACTGATAGATTGAATTATAGAATTTATAAGTCGATTTTTGTGGAGGGAGGGGAAAAACCATAGAACCCTGAGAAAAAACCCTCAAAGCACAAGAGAGAACTCACAAGCATCTCTACTCGCATATGATACAGAGCCCCCAGGAATCGCACCTGGGCCACATTAGTGAGAAGCGGCGCATTAGTTGAGCATTTTTAACATGAGCCTTATTGCTCGGACCACTTCCCATGTTATTGACTTTAAATA